GTCAGAGGTGCTGGGATGCAACGGGTGACCTTTTGGTTTCAGTAATCTGGTAGAAGGCATTATTGTATCACTCTTAACTTGCTCCTCATGGCCACAAGATGGCTGCAGAAACTCCTGGCATTATGTTCTCTTAAGAAGCAGTAAGGGAGGGAAGGGGGCAATAAGGCCCTTCTCTTTTCCAAAAACACCCGACCCCTTAAAGCTTACTGGCCAGAGCTGGGCAATGTGCCCAGATTGAAAACAACCTCAGCAAAAGGCATTGCCAAGAATGGCTCAGCTAAATCTTAACCCCTGAGGCTGGGCACATTGTTGCTGGCACCAAATCATGGTTCTGTTGGTAAGGAGGGAAGAATGGATGCCGGGCTGGTCATCAGCAGGGTTGGCCACAGGACAACAGGAAGAAAGAATTAAGTGGGCGTCCTTCTGCTCCCCTGGTCCACACACAGATAATAAGCGTGGATACTGATATAAAATAGGCTTTGCACTCACCTTCCCACTCCAGAACCTCCCTTTTGTGCAACAAACATTCAGGCTATGTCCCCTCCATGCCATGTACCATGCTAGGCACTGGGGTGCTGAGATTCATAGCCAGGTGCCCTTGGGAAAACCTGTGCACCAAGGCTCCATCATGCAAAGTGATTCTCCAGGGCCTGTGAGAACAAAGGAGCTAGAGCTGCTTTCTCAGAGATGGAGCCAGGGGCAGGTTTCCAAGCTGGCCAGGTCCAGGGCGGATTCCCACCTCACATGGCTCCCTGGAGGCCCTCTTGGCCCTCGCTTGTTGCAAGGCCCCAGAAGTCACACTTGGCCTCTCTCTCACGGGCTGTGTCTGACTATCCTGAGAGACAGCGTTTTCCCACAGCCCGAGCCCAGGTGCAAGGGAGGCTCCTGCAGACTGCATCCAGGCCTCTGCAAGGAAGCAGGGCGCCTGGAATCAGACAGGTTTTCCCCAGGCTTGGGGAGGTACAGGGCTCCAGACCCCTTCAGGACACTAGGCAGGGCAGGCCAGGCTGGTCTAAGGTTGAGTGCATGTGTGAGTACACATGTGCACACGGTGAGCTTGCATTTAATTGTCAGCACATGAACACGTTACAATGTGTGTGACTGAGTGAGCACATGCGTGTGGGCATGCATGCATGGGCATAGCCATGTGAATGTGTGTTGCAGCACACGTGTGCAGGTGTGTGCGTGAGCGTGTGAGAGTGTGCACAGGCATGTTCTGCCTCTCTCTGAAGGACACAAACATTCACAAAGTGAAGATTCAAGCCAGTTTCTACTAAATTAAAAACAGCTTTTTCGTGTTTAAAGTTTACAATACGAAAAATAATTTTCCTTTCTTGTCGGGGGTGGGCGGGGGGAGGCTGAGGGAGGGGTAGGGGGCCCCAGGACATTCCAAAACTGGTCGAGACGGTTATGCACAATCGATCTGGTTAGATACAGCAGCACCCCCGCCCAGGGCCGGCACCCCTGCCAGCTTGTTGGGGACAAGATGTTCTGAGGTGTGAGCTGATCTGGGGAACTTGGAACTGGCAAAGGCTTTTCACTGCCCCCCTGAAGAGGCCATGGCTCCAGTAGGGAAGGGTTCGCTTTGGAGCTCAGGTCGGGGGTGGGGCTGGAATGTTATGGTAAGTGCCTGAGAGCTGCTGCTTTCCTTGGATGCCCCTGGCAGCATGGGCTTCTTCCAGGGTCCCCAATCCAGTTCCTATTTTAGTGCTGCCCCCACCACCCCCAGCCTTATCCTGGGCCCTGGTGGCCATGGCACAGGAGTGCCACTCCTGTGGGTGAGGCAACTTACACAGATCTGAGTGTGGAGGATAATGGAAGGCTGTCCAGGAGCATCAGGAGAAGCAAGTAGCCCGCAAGCAGCTGGGTTTGAGGCAAGGCCAGCCATGAGAGTGGGGGCTGGGGATTCTCTGCAGACCTCTCAGGCCCATATGGAAGGGCGATGACTTCATGTTTCCTTTAGGACTTGCCCTGTACCTCCCCCAGGGAGACAGGATCTCTGCACTCAGGCCTTGGGACTATGCAGATAGAGACAGAACCTCTATGGGCTGCCTAGTGGCCAGGGGTTGGGCAACCTAGAAAGAATATCCCACATCAGGCTGCCCAACCTGGGCCGGGGTTTGTCTCCTGCCTCCCAGTGCCCAGGTAGAAATGGCTGCATTTCCTGCTGCCCCTGCACCCCTGAGCCCAAGCCCAGCCCCTCACCAGCTCCTCTGCAAGGCTGGAAAAGGCCCAGGGGGCGGAGAGAGGAGTCCCTAGATACATAGAAGACACACAAGGAATCTGTGACCAATCAAGCCCAAGCTACACAAGTTCAGCACTGGGCCCACTCCATCTTTTCGCCATAACATTTTTATTAAATAAAGGGAAATATTAGGAGACAACATCTGCTAAGATATGAGGTTAATTCTTTACACGGTGAGTGGGTCACAGAGACACAACATCAATCGTCTGTTAGCAGCAAGAGAGACACTTTAAGCTGCCCCGAGAGTACAAATCCCATTTATAAGACAGCAGTGCTGGCTTTTTTTTTTTTGGAGACAGAGTCTAATGCTGTTGCCCTGGGTAGAATGGCATTATAGCTCCAGCAACCTCCAAGTCTTAGGCTCAAGGGATCTTCTTGCCTCAGTTTTCTATTTTTAGTAGAGACAGGGTCTCGCTTTTGCTCAGGCTGGTCTTGAACCCATGAGCTCATACAATCTACCCGCCTTGGCCTCCCAGAGTGCTAGGATTACAGGCATGAGCCACCATGCCTGGCCC